ACAAAAATGAAAGTAAGTTTAGAGACAATGTGGGAGTCAGAAAGATCTGGTTTCAGGTCCTACCTTTGACACATACTCTGTGATCAATGAACAAATCACCTTATTTTCAGTACCCTAAACAATTATTCAAGAGTAGAAGTTGCAGAGAAAGTGTCAACATGCACTGGTAGAGAGTTTCCTTCTCTGGGAATTCCCTATACCATTAGAGAAATAACAGATCTAGTATCTTCTCAAAGTGAAATAAAGACCAAACAGAACCACAAAGTGTTAAACCAAGATTTTCAAAAATAATGAAACAGATTTGATGACATTGGACAAAAAAAAAATCCCTCTGATTTCCTACCACTCCTTTGGTACCTAGTGCAGATACTGTCTGTTTTTCTTTTCTTTTTTAGGCATTTAGGGTTAAGTGACTTGCCCAGGGTCACACAGCTAGTGTCAGGTGTTTGGTCTGAGGCTGGATTTGAACTCAGGTCTTCCTGACTTCAGGGCTGGTGCTCTATCCACTTCGCCACCTACCTGCCCCTCAGATACTATCTTGTAAGAGTAGTCTCACGTGGAAATAAAACTAGCAAGATCTCTTTACGCTGTCTGGCATTTAGTGGGTGCTTAATAATGCTTATTGATTGATTCACCAGGGTTTGTGTGGGGTCTGTGCTGCTGCTATCCCAGGGGTCTTTCCAGGAAATTCTTCAGGGGCATGGAGCAGACTCTTTGGTGGACAGGCAGAACTAAATCCCAGCATGGCCATGGTAACAGAGAGGACTATTCTCTCCATCACTGCCTCCCCTCTCCTACAACTGAATTTGCCCCAGACATAAGAATTCTACCTGAGTCTCCAGTAATGTGTGAAGGCTTTACTTCCCCTTAAAAACTCAGAGATTGTCTAGCAAATAAGTGTTAATGAAAATTAATGCTTGAGATACATCAGAGATAAAACTGAGAATGCTGTTTTATACACTTTCTGCTTAGTTACTAAATGAAAAAATGAATGAATGTTAAATAGGTACCTCCAATGGAGTTCTAGTAAGGACCACCACCACCTTTCTTATTCTTTTCTGATCTTTTTCCTCTGTGTATTCCCCAATTTTGTTGCTATCATTACTACATGAATATGTGAATCTTTTTTTCTCAGCTTGGAGAACTCATAGTTTTAGAGCTAGAAAGGGCTTAAAAGACATCTTGTCCAACCTTTTTATTTTACAGATGAAGAAACAAACTTAGAGAGAGCAAGTGACTTACCCTGGGTCCCATGGGTAGCATCTACCAAAGTTTATGACTCAAATTAGCCCTGTCCAATCACCCCTTCAGCCTCAATGGCAGTCTGGGCTCCTGGGCACTCAGTCACCATCCACATTACTTAATTCAGAAAAGCTGAGTCTGCTAGTATCAACCTCCAGGACAAGCTATTATTTCCAAGGCCACCCAGCTTATGCAACTAAGAAAAAAATGGATATCACGTCCTCTATTATTTCCTTTCCTCATTCACAATTTCAGTTTTGTGACAACAACAATAATAATAATAGCTAATATTTAGAGTGTAATTGGATTTCAGACTTGTGACAACCCAACATGGTAAGAGGCAGTGTGGGGCAATGAAAAGGATGTTAGATTTGGAATCAGATCAACTAGATTAAAAAATCTGAGTGACCTTGAGTAATTCACTTAATTTCACTGGGCTTCAGTTTCTTCATCTGTAAAATGAGGGGAATCGGATAGCTGCTAGATGACTTCTAAAGGCCCTTACTCAGGTGTCATGATGATGCCGCTTGCCTCAATTTCCCCAACTGTAAAATGGTAATAATAATAATAATAGCACCTATCTCCCAGGGTCATTGTGAGTTTCAAATGAGATATTTATAAAGCACTTAGCACAGTGTCTGGACATTGTAGGCACTATATAAATGCTATTATTATCATAGCTCTAAATCTATGATCTTAAGTATTATAAATATAATCATCTCCATTTTACAGTTAAGGAAACTGAGTCTCAGAGAGGCTAAGTGATTTGCCTCTGGTCACTGAGCTAGTATGGATCAAGATCAGGATTTAAACCTAGGTCTCAGTTCACAATAGATTCAGGGCTCTTCCTACCACCCCATGCTATTTCTCAGTTGTCTGCTAGCATTTATAGCAGTGCCTACATTTTCACAAGTCATTCTCAGTCTTATCTCTAATGTATCTCGAGCATTCATTTTCATTAGCATTCTTATTTGTTATACAGTCTCTTTCTTGGGGGCCCAGCCTTGTTTTTTTAGGGCCTGAGTTTTTGGGTTTATCAGTATGGTTGCACGTATCCTGTGGGGCTCTGATTTTGCTTCAAAGATTGCTTCCCCACTCATTCCTGCCCCAACTGTATCTTTTCCCTAACCTGTCTATTCAGTCCAGTCCCTAGGGTTTTGTGTACCAACTCAGCATGAATTACCTGAATTTACCTTCTCTAGCAAGGAATCATGAGTTCTACATCTTCCAACTCTCTTGGTTTAAGGAAAAAAAAGCACCTGGATCAGTGGGCACAGATTAATTACCCTTAACAACTGGGCCACATTATGGTTAGGGGCTCTGCCTTCTGAAGCACTACAGGCCATTGACCTTTGAGACAGAACAGCTGGCAGCTCACTCTCTGGGTTGAGTCAGGACAAAAGGGGTAGTTGGCTTACTGAGTCAGGTTGAGAAATCTGGTACCTTGGTCTAGTGGTCCAAATAAATGTTTAGTGGAGAGAAGGGACATAGGGATACCTATAGCTCCATAAAGGAATCTTTCCCTTTACCTACAACACAGCCTGGGTTCAGGGATTCTCAACCTGGGGTTTGTGGGCAGATTTCAGGAGTTCTGAGAACTTAGATGGCAAAAAAAAAAAATCCCCACTAACCTCTAACTGAAATTTAACATTTCTTTCATTTATGAATGGAGGCAACAAATCATTATTCTGGAAAGGGGTCCATAGGTTTCACCAGACTATCAAAACGGTCCATGGCATAAAGAAGGTTAAGAACCACTGACAGGTGTTGTTTTGATCCTGGCTCAGACTTAAAGAAGAAGGCTAGTATAGGATGCAAGACTTGGCCAAGTGCTTCTTATTTGGGGTTTTGGTGAAGAAATCTAACCTTGCTCAGGATGTTGTATATAAAACCTACATAGGGACTTTACTAGGAGGCTAGGCCATTACTATTTCATCTCCTTGTCCCAAGGATAAACAGAGCTGATATTTTATTGGTCTCCCAACCTCAATATTATAGATTTAGAGCTGGAAGGGACACTAGAGGTCATCTACATACTCTCTTGTACTGTTTCTTGTTGTCTCAATGTAAGGCAGTCTTTTCCAATCAGCATATAATCTCTTTAGAGGAAAGAGCGTAATATACTATATCCCTTCCCCATGAAGGTGTTCAGTGAATACCTATGATTCATTGAAGAGTAATACTAGATTAAAATAGGCAGGCTTTGATTAGTGTTATTTAATAGATTTTTTAAAAATATCTACAGGATCTGAATATAGAAAGAAAAAGTAGGAAGGAAGGAAGGAAGGAAGCTCACTGTGATCAGGTCACCCCGAGATGAATCTAGGCTTCATGTGAACTCAGAACAAGAACATTTTGTGAGAAGAGACCAGTGTCCCCACCCTGGCCCTCTAGTAACAAGGGAAAGACACTGTGGTATAGTGGAAATCACTGAATTTAGAGTGAGCTTTTGTTGTTGTTCAGTTGTGTCTGACTTCACGATCCCATTTAGGGTTTTCTTGGCAAAGATAATGGAGTGATTTGCCTTTTTCCTCCTCCAGCTCATTTTACAGATGAGGAAGCTGAGGCAAATAAGATTAAGATCACACAGCTATTAAATGTCTGAGGGCAGATTTGAACTCAGGTCTTCTTGATTCCAACCAGGGCCTGCTCTATCCACTTCACTGCCTTAGCTGCCCTAGAGTGAGCTAGCTTGGTTTAAATCCTTGCCCTGCTATTTACTTACTGTACGATGTCCAGCTCCAGTTTCTTCAACTGTACAGTAAGAGCTAGATGGGCTAGATGAATTCTGAGGTCCCTTCCAGATCGAAATTTGTGATTAGGTAAAGTCTTTTCCAATCAATCAACAAGCATCTATTAAGTGTCTCCAATGTGTCAGGCATTTCACCAGACACTGGGGATATGAAGGTCAAATAAAGTTGAAGCTTAGTACTTTGGCCATGGAATGAGAAGACGAGACTCACTGGAAAAGACCCTGATGTTTGGAAAGATTGAAGCAAAAGGAAAAGGGGACAGCAGAGGATGAGATGGATAGATAGTGTCATGGAAACAATGAACATGAACTTGACAGACTTCAAAATACAGTGGAAGCTAGAAGGGCCTGGTGTGCTATGGTACATGGTGTCATCAAGAATCAGATATGACTGAATAACAACAAATTCAGAACATAGCTGAGAACCAGGACCAAGGCACAAAAAGATTTCTGAGCAATCAAGGATAGATAACAAAGATAAACTGGATAGCCAGTTTACTCAATCAATCAACAAGTATTTATTAGTAACTAAATAATCTCTAGCCTCAAGCTTGAATTCTATTAGGGGAAGATAGATGCATATAAAAATATATAGACTAAATATAAAGAAAATACAAATGAATGCAAAATAGTAAATGAAATACAAGGAAGTTTGAGAGTCAAGTCAGGTTACTAGCAATTGAGGGAGGGAAGGGAATATTATACCATCTATAAAAAAGTGATTTCAGTGGCAAACCATTCACCCACTAATATTTCCCAACTCCTCACCCCAAGGACCGACTGCAGTGGGTTAAGAGGGTTAACCCATCCAAGGGTCAATTACTGACTTTAAATCAGCTTCTCCCAGGGTCCTATCCTAGTACAAGTCGCTGGCAGACCCACAGAAAAGATTCCTCAGGGCAAAGTGAAGCAATGAATAAAGCAGCAACAGCAGCAGTAGATATAAACAGATGAGATTCAAATCTCACACAACAAACTCTAGACCCACCCCACCCCTACCCCCCATTCGACCACTCTCCTAAATGTTGGATAAGCCAGGTGAAGAAGACCGTTTTCGGTGTTTCTTTTAACTTCCTTCGAGTTTCTTTAGGTAACTGAGTCCATTTACTATGTTTTCTTTCCTAACCACCCCCCTACCCCTACACACACCCGCTCCAGGGCCAGCAACAAAAGAATAGTGTTTCTCATGTGTTTATTTTTGTCCCGGTGGGGCTGCGGGGGGATTAGCAATTGTACCTCTTAGGGGTTGGATGCAAGAGTAAATAGAGTGACGAAAGAAGAGAGGGCTGAGAAAATGCATGTCTAAGCGCTTACCAAGAAGCGAGGGGCGAAGGAGAGCGGGCACTGGGTATTTGGAGAGTGGGTGGAAGAAGCCAGTGGGACGGGGTGGAGGGTGGGTGGGAGAAGACTGAGACTCAGGCAGAGAAAGGGAATACAAAGAGTGACCCGCACGGAACAAATGAGTAAAGAAGGCCAGCAAAAGGCTGCAGAGGACCTAAGAGGCCGGGGGAGTGGGGGCGGGTAGGGAGTCGGAGGGGCGGGCTGGTGCCTGGGGGTGGGGACCGTTGGGCGGGGCTCCGGCCTGCACCTTGCCTATTCTTTCGCCCGCTCCCTCTCTCCACCCCTGGGGCCGCCTGCGCCCGCCCCTCCCTGCCCCTCCTCCCATGCAATAAGGGGAGCTGAGGGGGGGGAGGGGGAGCCGCGCGGCAGCACCTAAGGAGAATTGAGTCGGGCCGGCCGTCGGGAGTCGGGGGCAGAAGATCCAAGACATCCCCGGCCCGAGCTGTAGCGCGCGGGGTGCTCCCCCTTGAGAGCGGGGAGAAGGGGGGCCCCCGGCGACGCCCCCAGGTCGACACGCCCGGCTCCCGGGCGCGCCAGCCGCGCGCTCATTTCCTGGAGCGCTCCTGCCCGTCGGGCCGGCCCGGAGCCGAAGCCAGTATGGCCAGTCTGGAGCCATGGACTTGCGTGCTGCTGCTGTTGCTGCTGCTGCTCGCGCTACCGCTGCTGAGTCGAACTGCCAAATTCTATTTTAGGATCGGCTCCTACTGCGTGTTATGCGTGGTGACCTCCGTGGTGGCCAGCGTGGTCTGCGTCCTGTGCCATGGGGGCCGCACCGTGCGCAACATGAGGCAAGCTGGGGACCAGGCTGCCCTGGGGGTTGGGGTCCGGGGTCTGCGCCCGCCGTGGGCGCACTCAGTGCAACAGCTTCCAGGGCGACTCTTTCCGCTTTTCTAACTTTCTATTTTCCCCTTTCCCTTCTTCCTGCCCCGCCTGCCCCGGCTTCCTGGGGACTCTCCTCGCCTGGACAACCGCGGGGGAAGCCGCGCCGTATCCCTAGACTGCTCTCCTCTCCTCCAGGCTGCAAACTTTCTCCTCTGCTTTTCCGGCTGTTCCCGGTTCGGGAGGGTCAGGGGAGAGACTGCGTCGTGGTCACTGGAGAAGCTGTCGTCATAATGCCTCGCGCCTTGCCTAAGCCCTGTCTATCTGCGGAGGACTTCCAGAGCCCTCTCTTCCCCAGTTCCTTGCACCTCTTGGAGTGGGAGGTAGGGGAGAGTTGGGAAGGGAAGGTAGAAGGAAAATCTTCCTCCCTCTGGCCCAAGTAAAGAAAAAGTGAAACGAAGGAGAGTGCAGAGAGATTGGTTCCCCCTTTGAATTGGAAAGGGGCATGTGCTAGCCTGGGTTCTTGGAACAGGAGCCTGTGGGGCAGCTTCCTGGTCCAGCTTTAGGTTTTAGAATGCCAGAGCTGGAAGGGAGCTTCGAAATTAACCAATAAAACCCCTTCATTTTCACAGAGGAGGAAACGGGGATCCATAGATGGGAAGTGACTTGTCCAAGGTTACCCTTGAAAGGAGTCAGTCAGTTCAGCGTCTGAGCCGGGTCACTAGTCCAGACCTCATTCAGTGCTGCAAAGGGAGAGGGAGCTTAAAGCTAAATCAATGAAAGTCACGACATAGGAGAAAGCTAGTAACTCCTGACCAAGAGCCTTGGGTCTGTTTGTCTCCCCTCCCCCTTAAGGAGACTCAGGGCAGCCTTTTTTCCTAGGTCTTGGATCAGGCTGCAGCAAGGGATAGTAACTCACCTTCCCCGATTCTCTTTCTTCCCAAAGACCTATGGGAAGGCCTGTCAATTTTTGTATTACGAGTTCAAAAAGCATATTGAGAAATAGATAGGGAGTTTGGAGAAATTCAGTGGCTTCCTAGTTCATTGAAGGAAATAGAGCTGGAATGTTTCTCCTGCAAGAATTCATCGTAACAGTCATTTGGGCTGGCTTACCCAGGCCAGGCACCATACTCTTTGTAGTCCAGGTGCCACACCTATCCCAAATCAGGCTTCACCTGAGATTGGTAAATCATTCAGGAGCCAGTGGATGAGCAGCTTCCTGAAAGCTAGGTGGAGCAGAGGCTTCTGGAATGGACTGGAGGGTGTTGTGTGTATGCGCCTTGCTTTTTTTTTAAAAAAAGGAAATTCTTTCTCGTTGTCTCACTGGGCTTTTGAAAAAGCCCTAATATGTATTACTACATTTCCTTCTTTGTCCCACTAGGAGGATTTCTGGCTCCTCTATGTAAAGCCCTTTTTCAAACTTTAAAGTGATTATATATGTTAGTTGTTAATATTTTTTATCATCCTTATCATTGGTTCTACAGTTGAAGTAGTCTGTCAAAGGGAGAAGTGGGGGTGTCATTCTGGCCAGTCTCCTGAGGCAGTTTGCCGGGCTGGCCTTAGTAGGATCCATAGAATCACGAGTTTAAAGCTGGAGAGACCTTGGAAGCTATAGGACCAACCCCTTAATTTGACAGATGAGGAAATTGATCCCTAAGGGGAAGAAGTAACTTTCTCAGAGTCTCATAGGATTATAAATTTAGTGCTAAAAGGGATCTTAGAGACCGTGTAATCCAACTCCCTCTTTTTACAGAGGAGGAAACTAAGGACAGAGCCAGCTGAAATTAGCTCTGTGGAGCCAATTGTTACATTTCTGTTGTGGTCCTTTATTCCTCAGAAATTGGCGAATGCTACAAATCTAGGCTTGATATGTTTTTTTATCTAAACCAATGATGTAGAACAAATAGAAATTTAGAAAACCACAAACTAACGTTATCTTTGTTTTATTGTACTTTTAATTTGTTAAACATTTCCCAATTGCATTTTAATCTGGTTCAGACCTACTCAGATGTTTTGAGGGCTACAAGTTTGACACCTTCTGGTCTGGACTTAAGAAAGTGATGAGAAAAAAAATCTAAGTAATGAAAAATGAACTTAAAAGAGTTTCTTGGGCACATTTTTTTTCCAGAGAGCCAGTCGTTAAACATTTCCCAGCATACCTCAGCCCAAGGGAGTGAAGCAATTTGCCCATGGTCACACAGGATCATTGATTTGGATCTAGGAGGTGTCTTAGAAGTCATCTAGTCCATCACCTTCATTTTGTCCAAAGCCACATCAGATAAAAGCTACTAGAACCCAAAATTAAACCCAGATTTTCAGACTCCAAAATCTAGCACTCTTCACTGCCTCATATTGCCCTATGGACTGTGGCTGAGCCAGAGTTCCTCATAAAGAAGGGGTGTACCCTAACTTACCCTCTTTTTGTATGTCGTCTTCAGCTAGTCTGACATCCAGTCAGATAGGATCTAATTCCTTCCAGCCCTCGATTGAGTTTTACAGATGAGGAAACCAAGGGCTCAGGGAGAGAAAGGGACTGACTGCATGGTCACATGGAGCGAGTAGCAGAGTTGGCCCTCTGATCCTCAGTCCAGTGATTTTTTTTCCGACTATACTTGGCTGCTTAAGTATAGTTGGCATCTTCCTGTTCTCCTGGGTCCTGCTGGTTTCAGTGGTTGTAAGCACATATCCAAAGCTCCACTCAGCAGCCCTATGGGAATAGATCTTGTGACCCCAGTAGAGCTCCTGCAGGAAAGAAAAGGATACTGTTGAGAGACACACTCTACATCAGCATCCTCTGTAGAACTTCTGTTCTGGAAGATGCCCCAGGAATAATTTAGTGAAAAGGGTCCCCTTTTCACCAGGGCAGATATGGTCAACCCTGTCTATATTGGACCCATGTCCTGTTGGCTTTGAGAGACTATTGAACCAGTGTTAGTGGCTGTTCAGGGGGCAAATAGTTCAGCAAACATTTGTTAAGTACTGACTCCTTGAGCTGGAACTATCTTTTGCCTTTCTTTTTATCCCCAGTACAATAACACAGTGTCAAGCACAGGATTGGGGGGAAGGGAGGGAGAATAAGTGTTTATAAAGCCCCTAATATGTGCCAGGCACTGTGTTTAAGCGCTTTACAAATTTGTCTTATTTGATCTCACACCACTTCTTTGAGATAGGTGCTATTATTATCCCCATTTTACAGCTGAGGAAACTGAGGCCCACAGTGGTTAAATGACTTGCCCAGAGTCATACAGCTAATAAGTGTTTGAGGCAGCATTTGAACTTTGGCCTTTTTTTTTTACTCCAGGCCCAGTGCTCTATCCATCATACTACCTAACTGCATTGTAGTAGGTGCTTAATTAATGTTCCTAGACTGTGTACAAAGCCTTCTTATTAATGCCATTTAATAAGAAAGAGCTGAATGCTTTCTTTTCTCTTTTTAAATGACTGAAATTGAACGAGTTGCCCTCCGTATTTTACAAAGTTAAGATTTGGAGTCTAACCAGTGGAAGGGGAATCTAATGAATCCACAAGCCTTACCTGGTACCAGTCAAGTCCAGTCCACAGAAGACTGTTGTTCAAATGAATGACACTAAAGCTAGATAGAATTTAAATAATCCCTAACCAAATGGTTTAAGTTCTTCCCCATCCTATTTGATTTGGGGGGAGGGAGAAGAGCACACTGGAACTTGGAACCGTCATACACAGTGGTGTTTTCTTGAGTATTGACCTGTGGTGTATAGTGGGGACAGAGGGGGAGGTTATGGCAATTGTGAGAGGCCCAGGGTGCACAGGGTTGTGGCTACATTCCACATGTGGCAGGATTCTATTCAATTTCCATTAAAAGCCTTGCTCAGTTACCAACCCATGTGCCAGGCATTGTGCTGGGCATTGAGATTACCAAGACAAAGTCAAACTGTCCCTGCCCTCAAGGAGCTTTTTTCAAATTCTCTGTACAAGAATACAGATAAGCCAATGCAAAATGTATGCAAGATTGTTTCCGGGGAAGTGGGGCTGAGAGTACCAGTGGGGGAAGGGGTGATCAGCAAAGGCCTCTTGTTGGGATGTCATTGATTCTCCAGCCAAGTATTGAATCTTGGGGATCCTGGGATCCAGATTGTCTAAGGGGAAACTGCAAGTAAGCGACTATTTGCCATTTCGAGTCCTGTTTAATGAGCAAGGCCTTCATTTGAGAATTTCTATATTTTTGTTCCTATTCTTCCTGGGGTGATGCTACTGAACACTTCAAAGAAATTTAAACAATCCCCTGAAGCTTCCTGCCTAATCCTGGCCTGGACTAACAGTATGAGGAGAATGACTGGGCAGTTTATGTAACCTGCCTTGTGGCATCCGTCCTCATTCCCACCCCTACCCTCCACTATGGGTCTTAGGCAAAAGTGAAATTTGTCTTCTCTCCAGCGGCTCCCATCTTGCATCCTTCTCCATCCTAGGTTTTTGGAGCTTTTGTATGCCCCTAGTCTTATAGACAACCCCACCTGTATTACGCAATATCCTATACAGACAATGCTCTAGTTCCAGACTTTTATGAATTTTCTTTTTCACATTTCTTTCCCTCCCCATAAACAAACTTCGTCCTCTACCCTCAAGGTCATGCTCTGTGCTAGGCAATTTCTCCTGGGAGCTCTTTTAAGGTGGAGCCTTCCTTGGTTACACTAATCAACTAGTTTTCAGTTAAGGGGCTGCTTTGGGGAACTAGGTCAGACTGTCTCATTCAAAGTCATTGGCCCTTGCCTTGTCATTTACTACAATTAAAAGACTTTACAGTGAGCTAAAGTCCTTTCCATAGGGGAAGGGGGTGTGTGGTCAGTGGAGGCCCTGACCTGAGGGTAGCTAGGAGAGAAGGAGCTGGGAGGTTATATAGACTGAAGCCCTTGGAGAAGTACATAGACTGAAGGATTCTATAATAGGACTTGACTCTGTATTGATTTGAGTGCCCTGGGCCAATTGCACGGCA